AGCCTCTCTTTGCTCCAAATAAAAATAAACCACTAGTCTCATCCTTGCTCGCTCCCAAGCGCCAAGGGCGATTGCTCGTGTGAGTGAGCCAATATTGCCTGCTGACATCATCATCTGCTAATCATTATGACACAAACCATAATAGTATCAACATCCCATCATCTCAAAATAAGTGATCTATTTTAAAAAAAAAAAAATTGACCACAGCTTGTGCAATTCTAGATTTCAAACATAAGCCTTATCAGCACCTTTTGCGATAAGTATATACAACGGAATCCACCATGTGCGCCTCACATGAAGTGATTCAATATCACTACCTCTTACGCAATAACCTCTCTAAAGATACTTTGGTGACCAGTTTGCGTTCATTCTGGACACGCCCAACTAGCACATTGAATCTTACAAGGAGCAAATTAATATACTACTAGTAAAGCATTCTATCCACAGTCTAATGAGCAAGGTCAATGTCTAAACAACTCAGTTGACCTTTTACCAAATATAACACTTATCATGTCGAATACGCCCACATAGCGTACTTTAGGCTCCCACAACAAAGAAAAGATCAAGGAATATAGGTCATCTGTTTCTTCCAAAGACAATCCGAGGATACACTCAATTGCTAAGGCTCTGGCTTTTACCGATAGGTAAGTCAATGGGTTTGCAATTTTACATCTAGAATTATTCTAGGATATTCCTTATGTAAGTCATCGAAGACAAACCGAGAATTTTCCCAAAACAATCCCTAAGGATCGTATATCCGAACATATAAATTACATCACCCATGTCCATCATATCTAAAATAGAGGACTGCCCACCCTAGGTGGCGACAACCTTATAAATTCCTGGCTCATAATGACTAAGTAAGGAAAAAGTTATTTTTTGGACCATTGATCATGCCTCAGTGGTCTTCATCAATCATCGTTGGCCTATCATGGCTTGACGAAATCTAAGAACCACTATTTGGATAACTGTTTTAGGTTGTAAAAGATTTATTGGAACTAGCAACCTTTTTGCGCTCCTAACTTTTCACCATAAAAGCGGAATGTAAATCCCTACGGATCTACTTATCCAATTCTCCAACGAGAAAGTTGGGTCACAATGTCCACAAATCAATGCTCCGAACTTATGTCAATCATAGCCTAAGTCAAAATAACCTCACTCTCCAGGAGGAAGTCTTCTCATGGTCTACACTTTCCTCAATGGTGCGACTTTTCGGTATCTAGCGAGCCTTATGCCTCAACAATGACTATCCAAATTACGCATAACTTTAGAACAGTTTCGCGTCATAATGGAAAGTCAACCAAAATTATAGAAATGGTTAATCCTTAAAGACTTTGTCTTAAACTGCGCAACATTAATCCACTTTCTAAAAACAGGGGACTAGAGCCTTTGGCATTATCCTAGGCTCTTTATCATCTTGCGGAGCAATCATGAATGTTTCCTTCTCAATCACCCAGTGATGACGTGGAAAATTTTCACATTTTCTATCACGCAACAAAGAATGTTGAGAATTCTTCTCTAATGGAGTAATCCATTAGTAGGCACATCGCTCCCACTGTCCCTAAGATATTGAAAATTTCTTTCCATTCTCAACTAGGCTACATAGAGCGCTATGCTTAGAATTCTCTATCTTATAGAGTTCCAAAAACTCTATTCACGTCACCTTTACTAAGAAAACTTTATGTGACTCAGTTACACACCTATAAAGCTGCTTACCTACATGCACATGACCCAGAGGGTTTACATGACCGCATACAATAATGCGCCACATGACCCTATGTGTTTACAAGACAACATACAATAATGCGCTATAGAATCCTATGTCTTAACTTTGCAATCTTATGAGAAGTAAAATAAAGATAAGCTGCTTAGCGGTTACAGATCGCCCATAGATGGCTCTCCGCTAACCCATTACTCAAATGGAGTGTAAAATCAGATATGGAGGGCACTTAGTTAGGGATATAGGCAACAAACTAGTGCAATTCCCAATTGGGAAACATTTTGCGCCATTATCCACCTAACATTAACAATATTTAATTCCTTATCTCTACCACACCATTGTGTTGTTGAGTATTAGGAATAATCAATTTTCTAAGCATTCATTTCTCTTCACAGAGTTTTCTAAAATAACTCAAATAGATACTCGCCATCTTGATCAAAACTAAAAGCACAAAAGCTGTTATCTAATTGATCTCAACCTCATATGTGCAATGTCAAAAATCATTTCAAAACTTTTGACTTATGGGAGATCAAATAGTCTTGACTCAGATGCGTATCGTAATCTATAAATGTGTCGAGATTGAGGCCTAGCTATCATACCCTTATTCATATCTAGTCACAAATATCATAGTGGACTAAAATGCGCCAATATAAATGACTTTCTACGGCTTTCCAACTTACTTGTGCGCAATCATTGCGAACAAAGTTACACATTCATATAAGAGCAGGATGTCACAAGCGAGTGGGCCCGAGAAGGCCTACCCAAATCATCGTGTCATCATCTCATTAATGTGATTAAGTATAATAAGCCACTGGTTCATGACCAATGTCATAAACTAATTCCAATCATCTTAATGTGTGAGTTCTCGAAGATAAGTTTAAAAGGTTTAGGCCCAACTAGGTAATGACTCAGGACTAATTCATATTCACTAGACCATAAAAGGATGTCATGGAGATATCAAGTGCGCCTAAGTCACAAATTTAACTAGTAAGTGCTAATCCCTTGCACCTTCAAGTCAATTTTATTCTCCATACACTTTAATGCATCTAGTTGAAAGATGACGATACTCCTCTTGCCATATCTATTTCTCGTTTCATAGTTGCTTGCAATTAATTCTACTATCCACAAGAAGGAGAGAATAAACTATCAATCTGCGACAGCTCTTGAAGTAACTTAAGCGGGAATTAGGCTAAAGAGTCTAATTCAACACGATGCTCTCACAAGCGATGTGTCAAATTCTTCGAGTCATAACAACCTTGTCGGCCTTGACCTTTTCATTACTATGCTGCAACGTTTGCGCTTAGTGGTAAATGTTATTCAAAAACGTTAGCCTAGCTAAGGAATCATACAAAGAAGCCCCTCCTCATGTCTCACACTCAAGTGTGGAAACAATAAGTGTCTAGATTTAGACAAGTTGGCAATGTTAATAGATTTTGCAGCTACTAAGCGCTAATCTTTTCACTTAGTGTTAATAGATTTTTGCAGTTTCTAAGCGCTAATCTTTTCACTTAGTGTTAATAGATTTTGCAGCTTCTGAGCGCTAATCTTTTCACTTGGCGTGATATTTCAACGCACACTAGTATAGTGCATGAAATTTTGCTCCATCCATTCCCAATAATTGGGTAGAAAGCAAAATACTGCTCATACTGGCTACTCGTCTTACACTTAGTGACTAATTTATTTAAGCTCGCATTTCTTGGATGACCTGACTCTTGAATGTTACTTCATCCAATGATGTAACATTATTTACAAGTCAAATTACAAAGTCAATCCACGCAGCTCAATATTCAAGATCATATACAGATCTATTGAGGGCTTACTAATTTCATAACTTCAAAACTCGCCAACCAAAACTACGTAACATGCCGCTAACCATAGCGCACACATTAGTTTTTATTATGCCAAACAAGGCAACAAAACCACGGCGACTTTGAGTCATGTTTCCTTACTTTGGCTCAATTAAGGTCTGACCTAAAGTCTCTAAGACTTTTGCTCATCTTAAAGAATAGAATTACATTGTCCACATTAGAACATCTTTACTAAGTCTAGGTCAACCAAAGTAACTTTCATAAGCTAAGTCAATTTAGAGAGAAATTCGCATTGGGAGTAATTTGATTAGCATAATATAATTTTGCCGCAAAAATCTAAATTAAATAGTGACAATTTTACACAAGTCGTAAGATCGAAAATCCGCTATGCTCGTAATCATCTCTTGCGCCGCAGGTGACAATTATCCAAAATTTAATTTAATTCATGCGCAAAATATTGGTTTTCGGGAGTTAATCTACAAAGATTTCTCTGAACCGAATAACCTCCCACTGACTATAGAATCTCTAAAAGCATGATAAAAAATTATAATTCCATACAACAGCATCATAATGTAGATTTACAAACAATTCATGCTATATAATGTGTACATATATATATACATGATTAAGAAAACACGAAAATACCCAACTATGCTCTGATACCAATGTAAATCAGCAATATAACGCAGCGGAATAAAAATTATGGTCATACCTTTTCTACAGAGTCTGAATAGAAAGGATCTCCTGGGTAAATCACGTGCTTCCTGAATCTGATCAGTTAACCCAGCAGTGGGGTGATATTACAACAGTGAATATCACCCAGACAAATCACAATGCAAACAGCTTTGATCGTTGTTTTTGGGAGAGAGTCAGAATATGGGAAATTTTTATCTCTTAGACTTGACAGAAGGGTCTCAATTTATACATGTATAAGGGAGAGAGGAAAAGCCTCCAGCTTTTATGGCTGGTCATTAATGCACCATTAAGCTCTGCAATAAAGGCAGGAGTTACAAACCCCATTAATGCAGGAGTTACAAACCCCATTAATGCAGGAGTCACAGTTATAAATTCAAAGCATTGAAATGGTTATGTCACATGGGCGCCCATTTCTAACATTTCAATATAATTTTCTCTATTTTTCTATTAAGAATTGTTGCCTTTTATATAAATAGAAAGTTTGTGAAATAAAACTATTAATTACAGGAGTAAAAATATAATTTTTAAACTATTCAGGAATGAGATGCAGTTGAACCAAATCTAATTTATCCGATTTTTTTGTGGAGCTATGCTGCAGACTTCCAGTCAAACTCACCTCCGCTATTCCACACACACGTGGGACTTAGTGATTAAAAAGAAAAAAAAAATTGACCAATCAATACCCACTGAGGGTGCTGGGGTCTCCCTATTGGGTCCCAAGCTTTTCTGCTTTTGTGTGTGCTGCATATGAGTTTGATGTCCTTTAGGTGGTAAATTCAAAAACAGTTATGACTACAAAATAGAAAAAATAAAAATAAAATCAAAGGCAATTTTGGTTGAGTCACATGAGAATGGGCTCTGGCTCTTCTGATTTTTTTATGTACTATGTTTTCCTTTTTTTCCAGGTATGTTTGAAGATTTCAAATTGGCATCGCTGTTTGCTGTCTTTTCAAAAGCACTCAATTGGTTCATTGTTTTGTTTCATATTTACTTGGGAAAATAATAAATCAGTATAGAGGGGAAAAAAAATAAAAATAAATTATATTTATATCTTTTAAGATTTGAATTTAACACATTATTTTTTGACTTTTAAAAAATTACATTAACCTCCGTGTCATTATAATTATTTATACGTAATTAATGTTGATATCAAAAAAATATCGAATTCATATACTCTTTTTTTTTTGTTATTTTGCTTTATTACTTTTTTTTTTCTTCTCCTTCTTTCCTTTACTTTACTTTTTTTTTAAATATAATTTCTTCTATTTTTTTACTAGGAATTGTTACCTTTTATATAAGTAGGGGTTTGTGAAATAAGACTATTAATCACAGGAGTAAAAATTGAATTTCTATAATGTTAGAAAGTGGGATATAATAAAACCAAACCTCAGGGAGTGTCAATGTAATTTAACCAAAAAAATAATTACAAACACGTGAGGATGTAACTTTTTCTGTGCAAAGAAATCACAGCAAAAGTCACAGGAATTGTTGCCTTTTATATAAGTAGGAGTTTGTGAAATAAGACTATTAATCACAGAAGTAAGAATATAATTTCTATAATGTTAGAGCATCTCCAACCATGCTCTCTAAAATGCCTCTTCAAAGTACACAAAAAACTACCTTCTTTATTTTGCCTAACTAGTTTAGCTAGTGTACACTCCAACCATACTTTTTATTTTAGCTAACCAATCAAACTAACTTAACTAATTTTTAAAAAAAAACTATTATAAATATTAATAAATAAATAATCTTTTTATGACATGTTCATTGACATAAATAAATAAATAAATAAATAAAATTAATAAATCCCAAACTTATTTTTAGAAAAAAAAATTATAATCATTGATATAAAAAAATTGTGCTCATTGACAGCAAGTCATACTGAGAAGCAAACATGTAAAACATAGAGGTGGAACTAACATTTTATAATTTACAGATTCAGCATTATTTTCACTAACTTGATACTTAAATTGAGGAGATTTTTAATTTAGCAATTTTTTGTTTACCATATGAAACTCGTTTTATTGCTTTCTTGAGTAAACAAAAAAAAAAAAAAAACACACACACACACACACACACATACATACATAGAGTGAGAGAGAATCACATAAAATTTCACCTTTTGAAAGCAGGATTAGCAGCAATTTGTAAACAATGCAAAACCAAGACAATACCCATATCAAGAAGAGTGAGAATGGGTAAAATACACAACATGATTAGAGAGCATAAAGTAGTTTGGGGAAAATAATATGTACTTTTCAACAGCTGAAAGTACTTCCTTCTTCTCAATCTTTCCACCAACACCAGTAGCCAGATCTAATGCTCCAGACTTGACCATCTTCCAACCAAATAAAAAACAGAAAATGTAACAAAGAAAAAAAAAATTAAAATCACAAATAGAAGTGAACCCATTTGAACAATTAATTATAAATTGATAAAAAAAAATGTAGTAATAATTTGATTTGATTCCCACAATTAGTAAGAAAGAATCAGATTATTTGCAGCAGCAGCAACAAATGCTAAGTGTTTACAAAGGAGTTGACTTGAGAGAGATTTTGAAATCCAGGACTTGAATGGACATCCAAAATATAAAGAGCAAAAAAATAAATAGCACTAAATGTAAATAGCACTAAATCCAAGTCAAAGCACTAAAATCCAATAAGAATTAAAACCCAACAAGTCTGTCTCCATTTCAGATTTCAAGCAGCAAAATTTGAAACAAACCCAACTCCAAATCCAAGTCAAAGCACCAAAATTCTGAAGATCAAAAACAGATGTGCCAGCAAACCCAAAAATAAAATCCAGTCAAACTTGAATTAAATAAAAACATAGCTTCAAAGCTAAATAAAAACAATCAATTCCTTTTTTCAAGGATTTGCATCTGACGTTGGCGAATATATTGTGCATGCAATGGAGGTGTTAGGTTTTATTATTGGCAATCCCGTTTGACAAGGATTTCTTTAAGAAATTGATTTTCTTCCAAAACTAGGATTACTTTTGGATTTCTTCCAAAACTAAGATTGCTTTTGGATTTTCTATAAATAGTTGGTTTTCTCCCAAAACTATTTAATTCCTCCAGATCTTCTTTTTGGTTCTTAAGGTTTATATCTGGGGATATTTTGTTAGTTTTCTTTGATGTTTTATTGAGTATTCAACTCATGGTTTAAAGAAAGTACATCAAAGGTTTTGTTTGTTATACACAAGAGAGAGAGAGAGAGAGATCGGTGGATTCTGAAGAATTCGATATAATATATTGGTACCTTTAAGAGCATCTCCAACCATGCTCTCTAAAATGCCTCTTCAAAGTACACAAAAAACTACCTTCTTTATTTTGCCTAACTAGTTTAGCTAGTGTACACTCCAACCATACTCTTTATTTTAGCTAACCAATCAAACTAACTTAACTAATTTTTAAAAGAAAACTATTATAAATATTAATAAATAAATAATCTTTTTATGACATGTTCATTGACATAAATAAATAAATAAATAAAATTAATAAATCCCAAACTTATTTTTAGAAAAAAAAATTATAATCATTGATATAAAAAAAATTGTGCTCATTGACAGCAAGTCATACTGAGAAGCAAACATGTAAAACATAGAGGTGGAACTAACATTTTATAATTTACAGATTCAGCAATATTTTCACTAACTTGATACTTAAATTGAGGAGATTTTTAATGTAGCAATTTTTTGTTTACCAATATGAAACTCGTTTTATTGCTTTCTTGAGTAAAAAAAAAAAAAAAAACCACACACACATACATACACAGAGTGAGAGAGAATCACATAAAATTTCACCTTTTGAAAGCAGGATTAGCAGCAATTTGTAAAAAATGCAAAACCAAGACAATACCCATATCAAGAAGAGTGAGAATGGGTAAAATACACAACATGATTAGAGAGCATAAAGTAGTTTGAGGAAAATAATATGTACTCTTCAACAGCTTAAAGTACTTCCTTCTTCTCAATCTTTCCACCAACACCAGTAGCCAGATCTAATGCTCCAAACTTGACCATCTTCCAACCAAATAAAAAACAGAAAATGTAACAAAGAAAAAAAAAATTAAAATCACAAATAGAAGTGAACCCATTTGAACAATTAATTATAAATTGATAAAAAAAATGTAGTAATAATTTGATTTGATTCCCACAATTAGTAAAAAAGAATTAGATTATTTGCAGCAGCAGCAACAAATGCTAAGTGTTTACAAAGGAGTTAACTTGAGAGAGATTTTGAAATCCAAGACTTGAATAGACATCCAAAATATAAAGAGAAAAAAAATAAGTAGCACTAAATGTTAATAGCACTAAATCCAAGTCAAAGCACTAAAATCCAATAAGAATTAAAACCCAACAAGTCTGTCTCCATTTCAGATTTCAAGCAACAAAATTTGAAACAAACCCAACTCCAAATCCAAGTCAAAGCACCAAAATTCTAAAGATCAAAAACAAATGTGCCAGCAAACCCAAAAATAAAATCCAGTCAAACTTGAATTAAATAAAAACATAGCTTCAAAGCTAAATAAAAACAATTAATTCCTTTTTTCAAGGATTTGCATCTGACGTTGGCGAATATATTGTGCGTGCAATGGAGGCATAATACTTGTATCCATTGACATGATTCTCTCTTCCTCTCTCCTTTCCTCCAATGCAAACCTTCGTTCCTCTCTCTTTTCCTTATTTTCAATCCTCCGTTCCTCTTGAAGATAAGATTTCTCAAATATCTCTATTTTCTTCTCATTTGTTATGTTATTCTTTACCTTTATCTCTTCTAAGAGCTTCACAAAAGGAGACTCTGTAACATTATTTCCAAGATCTTTAGCTTTGTTTTTCTTTGCGGCCTTCCTTCCTATTGGTCTTTCCACAACATCATAGTTGTCATTGTTCTCTAAGTTTACTGAATCTGGTGTAGACGTTGCCGGAGATGCATTTTTTGTGCTTTTTTGCTTCTTTGTTGTTGTATCTTCCATCCATTTTGGTTGGGATCTCAATTCATTCCAACAATGCTCAAAGGGAAAGTTCGAGTGGTACAAGTCTCTGTACAATTTTTTCGCATCTTGAATCTGAAAAATATATTAAAGAATAATCACTATCACACAATGAATAATATATATTCATTATAGGTACAAAATTAAATTGTAGTAATACCTTGTCTTTTTCAGTCGAACCACTTCGATTTAACCGTTCAACTTGAGCAAAACATCCACAAAATTTATTTGTGGCAAGTTGAATCGTCGACCACCGATTCATTAGAGAAGTTTGAGTTCTTTCAGAATCAAAGGTTTTGTACTTGTTGTAGTTCTCCCACACTCTTAACCAATATGCCTTTGACTTTTGTTCATTTCCTCTAATTGGATCTAAGCTAATATTAAGCCATGAAGATATAAGCATCATGTCTTCCTCTTCGGTGAAATTCCCTTTGCGTTGTGATATCTTTGTAGTTTGAGTAATAATTTCAGGAGAGAATGATAAAGATTGACTCTCTTGTTGAGGAGATTCAGTGGTAAAATTATGGTCAACGTCAAACTCGTTCATTAGGTTGCTAAAATACGCATTTCCTTGATATTCCATCTAAAGCACAATTGTAGATACCATACAAAAAGAAAAGAACTAAAGAGTGAGTGCTAACTTACTAATTGCAGATATCTATACACAAAGTTAATAGTACAATTCAGCAAAAACAATAAACTCAAAACCATACTGTTTGGAGGGACAAATTAGATTTTGGTAAAAATCCGTACAAAAAAAATTGGCTTGTGAATCAATTTCACTTTCCCTATACAAAACCAGCCAGATCAAATAGACCAAATAACTTATTCATCATATCATTGGCAAAACTGAGGACCATGAATCAACTTCGCTTAAATGCTTTTTCATTTTCTTAGTAACAAATTAGAGAATTAAGTTTTTTGTTTTTGTTTTTTGAACAATAGAGTATTAAGTTAAGTCTGATGTTTAAATCACATTAAAAAGCCCATAATTGTTCTTGAAAGAATTGAACGTGTACAATATATTGATCTAATCTTTTTGTTCTTACTTAGCTCCAAAGTAGCCACTATGGCCCCAAATGTAACAGAACAACTAAAAAAAAAATAATTGATAGTTTTCAAACACTCAAATGCAATGTATGCATCCCCAAGAACGAACCTGCTTACCCAAACACATAAAAATCAACTTGTAAACAAGTCCAAAATTTTAGAAAAGGCCAAATTGAGACAGAAAAAAGGGCAGAGAATGAAAACAGTGGGGAAAAAAAAGGACTAGTTTATAACATACACAATTCCTCTGGTAATGAAATCTCCAAGCATCCTTGATCCCTATGAATGAGTGCCCACCAAATTCATAGACAACCAAACAAAGTCGACATGTACAAATGAATGACAACAATAATTTCGCATTTTGTATCAAGAAGAAAAAGATAAAAAAAAAACATAAGCCAAAAAATAACTACACCAATGATTTGATGGATTCAAAGACTGCAATTCAATGAAAATTTATGAGAATTAATTCATGGAAAAAGAAAACAAACAAAATAGAAAGAAAAAATTAAGGGTATGACATGTATTCTGCCAAAGATATTCAATTAGAATACCATGGAGAATAGAGACAAAGCACCCATGATCAACAAGGGAAAAGAAATGAATTGGGAAGCGTATGTATAATTAACATGATTTACAAAAATTGGAAGCCCTAAAACATGTATAGATTCTTGGGTGGAATTGTGGGGTCAATTCTTTGAGGCAATTTATCGAACATGTAGAGGACATTGGAGAAAACCCTCTACACATTGAAAAACCTATCATCAAGCAATCTATAAAAGCAAATACAACAAAATATAAAGTGAATCACTCAATCTACCAGGCACATTGCATAAACACTGAATATAAAACCCAAAACCCAATTTTTTATCCAAAAACATGTATCAAATGCAGCTTTAAATATACAAAAATAGCATGAAAATACAGACCAATAAACAAAAATCATCAACGGTTTATACCCAGTGGCTATTATCAATTTCCCAATGAACAATTTCAGTACACAAATCCAATTTTTGCAAATGGATTGCCCTAAATCATGTATTCGTTTGCAGATAGATGATGGGGAAGAACAGGGAAGTGGAGAAAGAGAAAGAGAAAGAGAGCCATACCTGTGATCAACAATGGGCTGGAACAGAGATAGAACAAGCAGCGATGCAGGCCAACACAATGGCGGGAAGAGTGCTTTGCCTAGCAAAGGACGCTAGCTACATGTGGAGAGCCAAAACAAGAATTGGCAAAATGCCTCCTCAGTTGCAGAGCGCGTTGGAGCTTCGAAATCCAACTTCAATAGGCAAAATGCCTAATTCTCCCCTTTTGGCTCCTGTGTTGGAGATGCTCTCAGTTGCAGAGCGCGTTAGAGCTTCGAAATCCAACTTCAATAGGCAAAATGCCTAATTCTCCTCTTTTGGCTCCAGCGTTGGAGATGCTCTTAGAGAATAAGATATAATCAAACTAAACCTCAGGGAGTGTCAATGTAATTTATCCAAAAAAAAAAAGAAATTACAAACATGTGAGCATGTAACTTTTTCTGTGCAAAGAAATCACAGCAAAAGTCATCCCTCACCTTTTGATAAATAATTTCCCCACTTCCCACTATCTTGTAATTTCACCTATTTACTTCCACTTGTTTGTGGAGAAATTTGGAAGGGAAAAAAAGGAAACTAAAGAAAATATGGGTTTTGATCTTATCTTTCATCATGTTAGGTTTTAAACAAATGAAAATCCAACCTTAACCTAGCCTTGTAGTTTTGTGAAGCTCTTTATTACTCTATGTTTCTTTGTTAATGCAATTTTACCCTAGAAAAGCAAAAACTTTAATTAAAAAGTATAAATGTCTAGCCATTTCTTGGCATCGGCATACATAAGAATTAGAAGTATTTGATGCTTGGAACATACCTAAGTTCTTATAACATAGATGAAGCTTTACTACCATTGTTTTTTTTGTTTAATCAGGTTGCAAACAAGGGAAAATCTGTTGTTCAATGAATCATTTTATCATTTATTATTATTATTATTTCGGTAGCCAAATGGAGCATAGTATAATGTGCCAATTAATTTTTTTATATCTTGGTTCGTTTCACCATCTTGAGTGTTCTAATGGTTTACTAATGAATTTGAACTCAATCCCTTAGAGGTTTGAAAAAATTTTTACTCTTTGCTTTTCTATACGAATTGGGTATCTATAAAAAACAATTTCGTATTTTATACCAAGCATACATTGGTCTTTCAAATGTTGAACATTAGCTTAAAGAGGTGTTGCCCTTTTTCATTTGTTTTGTTTATTAATATCTTTAATATATGAGTCACTTTTTTGGTTAATCAATATCTTGTTGAAGCTACAAATCAATGGTAGTATTTTGTCGAAGTACATTGTGTATATACGACCATATCACTTGATAATGCAATAACTTCAATGGAGGATGGGTCAGACTAATCCACGCTTCCAACGGGTCTGCTGACCTTGATGTCCACGAAGGGTGCCTGCAAAAAGGTCTAGAGGGGGAGATAATCCCCTGACAGACGATCCGACGATCAAGTTAGGTTAGGGCAGATTGATTTTAGAGAGAGAGAGAGAGAGAGAGAGAAAAGTAAATGGGGTAAAAAACTTAACCTCTAACGTATCTCGAAGGTTTCCTTATATCCTTTGCTCATCATTTCCTTGTCCATTCGAAGCTGTCTTGTTGGCTGAAAGTCTATGACCTAAACATTATTCATAGTGATTCTACATACTCCGGCGTGAGGGGTCTTGTTGTATTTAATGCTATAGTGGCCTCATTAAATGGCTGATATGTGGGTATAATAACTTTGCAAGATCTTTGTCTGCTCACGTGGTTAGTTCCTTACCTGACAAGTGTTTGAATGTTATTGGTCCTGGCTAACATTGGCTTCTTAAAGTTACTAGGCTTATTGGCTTTAACACCAGGGCCGTGAGTGAGCTGTGGGCTAGGCCCCCTTGGGTGCCCATCGGTATCAGTAGTCTCTCATTTCCAAGTGCAGCTTTAGTCCAACAAAGGGAATAAGAAAGGTAGAGGTAGTCCCCCAAGCCCGGGAAAGAGCCAGGGGTGGGGCGGAAAAGAGAGGGGGCGCCATGGGAAAGTGGTGGAATGGAGATGAAAGACCGACCGACCGTCAAGAGTAGTCGACCATTAGGATGGCCGACCACGAAAATGGAAGACGAAAGACCGACCGACCGTCGAGGAGGTCAACTGCGAAGGTGACTGGACGGGATAACCGACTGTAAGGAGGGTTGAACGCGAAGGTGCCCGTAAATGCTTTGACGGCGCACGGGACTTAAGGAGCGGGTAAGCACGTGATGATATGAAGTGGAAATGATGGGGGAGAGGAAAAAGAATTAGTGGGGGAAGGAAGGGATCGTGGCCGTATACATGGGCAATGAAGGCCATTGGTGAGAGATACAAATCGTTTGTAGGAGGTGAAGGGGTTGGTGTGAGGGATGTAGAAAAGGCGGGGGATTTGTACTTCATATTGAATTTTCAAACTGGAAAATTTTAACCGCGATCCTTGGTAGATAGGCAAACCCTGAGCCTTTGGAGTTGTGCATTTTTCATACCTTATTGCAAGAAACCAACACATCCTAGACTTTACTGCGTTCGTCTTATTTGATTCTCTGCTTTACCATTTGGCGAACTTCCTCGCCCATGCTACAGAAGCAATATACAGGAACGTAAGAGGAATGGTACAAAACAAAGCACCAGCTATGGCATCGGATGCGTTGGGGAGGATGATGGAGTGGCGCTAGCAGAACAGTATAGGGTGGAGAGGTTGATAGAGAGGGGTACAGAGCGACTAGCGCGGCCCCTTCCAGTGACAATGATTTTGGTGGTCCAGCCGATTAGTCAGGTGGCGCTTAACCACTGGTACACCAAAGTTGACAAGTACACGCTAAGGGTAGAGAATTTGGAGGAACTGCGTAGCAGATATTAGATTCCAGTAGATATACAGTTGAGAGTGCCTATGGCGAAGGAGAGTGCATCCGACGCGCGGCCAATGGAGTTTGCACGGTACGAAGAGGCACTACACAGGGGCTTGAGGTTGTCACTGCCCCTACTAGTGGTCAATGTATTGAATCACCTAGAAGTAGTGCCAGGGCAACTAATGCCGAATGCATAGAAGATCCTGCTTTCCTGCTCGAGCTCGTGGCCGAGGGCAACCGAGGGAGACGCGATGACGATAGATGAGTTTTTTTTCATATTACAAGGCCTTGGGGCAACAGGAGACTTGAGTGACCTTGCAAGCGATAGCGGGGAAGAGACTGGTTGTGGGATTGCCCTCATCAGTAAAAAGGTGGAGGCCAAAGTGGTTTTTTGTGTCGACAAATGGCGGGAGGGGAGTTCACACGATTTGGAAAGTTCTCACCAAGTCGTTGGAACCGTAGTTGGATGTTGCGGTAGAGACGAGGGTCAAGCAAGTGAAGGAGTGGAGGGAGAAGGAGGGACTAAAATGTGACGACCTTGTCCAGCCCTCAGCCGTATTTACCCTGAATCTGGGGCCTGAGCCGGTCGAAGGATATCC